GCAAGAGGAAAAGAGATATCGAGTACACTGAGTCGAGGTATCTCAGAGGGGTTGCTACAACGCAGTCAGAAGCAACTTTGAGCTGTCGTTATACTTTGAGGTAAAGTATACATTTCCATTGAGATAAGGATGGAGACGAAGAGTCACAGCTCATGCTGAAGTGCTGGAAGCTCAAGCTGTAGTCAGACCTGGGCTGGACCCCCTGATGACTCTGCTGTGTGCAAGAAGCAAAGTTTGCGCAGCAGTATAAAAGGGAAGCTGCCCTGCTGCATCTCTTTTCCTCTTTCTTTTTGAAAGATTTGGTGGAATGCCTGACATGTGCCCTGCTGCAGGCGCCGATATGGATGTGAGCCGAACCCCCTCCATGCAAATGCATCTGGCAGGGTGACCTTGCTCAGGTCTCAGAGCATTATCTTTTACTGCTACTACAGCATGCAGCCTCTACCACCGAACTCAGTCCCCTTTCGTTTGTCGTTCTATCGATTCGAGCCATTCGTTCGATATATCTATTCCGTCACCATATTTGACACGATGCACTCTTATCAGCAGTGATCATGGTCACAAACAACACACCGACGACTCCGGGACAATACGCAGGCACCAACCAGCGAGCAGCCCTGCGCACCGCACGCCGTTGATGAACATCGAACTACCGAGCCTTGCCGCTTCTTCGCCGCTGCTACCGTGCAGCATGACGTGCTATGGATACGCTGCGACTTCATCAATCTCGCTGCAACCCTTTCCAGCGCCGCGGTGTGCCCAATAGGAGCGAGACGCCCGACACCATCTTCCAGCACTATTGCCGCCGCTATTCGTGCCGCCGCGCCGCAGCTACGTCCGTTGAAATTGCAGGGGTGCGTTTGGCGGTGTCCGACCAGTCGCCCGAATGCCCGGCCTAAGATATACACGGAGCGCGCATGCCGAACGGCGCTTGCGAAAATTTTTCCATGAGCCTGAGCCTCACTGCTCAGCTGGGAAATTCGGGGCCCACACAAGCTGTTGGTCATCTTGCGTCCCCGAAGAGGCGGTATCGCAGTGCTTGAGAATCAAATGGCTCAAATGACGCATGTAAGCATGCGTTGCTGAATTGGACCATATGAATTTTTGACATGCGCGAGAGCCATGAAAGAAAAGCTGAATATCTTGCTGGCCGTTGGAGCATTTGTGCTGCAAAATGGCCATTAATCAACTGGGTAATCAGCCAAAAGGCGCTCTTCTACCCCACTCTGCGGCTACTTGGGGAGATCCTTTTGCGTCTTGAACAAAAATGATGCTTATACTGAATAACAGTAGTAGTACCCCGACTGTCATCCAGCTGAGAGAACAACGATGGAACATGTCGTCTTGTAAGCACGTAAACCTACCTAGTAGCAATAGCAGCTCATCGAAGCTCTCATTATGGGGGTGAGGTTGCCTTAGGCTTGAACCGGCCGCATGGATCTGTCAATCTGCCGTCCAGCCTCGTTTTCCCACGCCCCCTTGTCCTCAGGCATGCATTCATCCCACGCAGCATCTGTAGCAAGGGGGGCTTTGGTGCAACGCAGCGGCTATCTTTGCTCCGATTTGCTCATACAGTCAAGGGGCAAGGGTACGACTGCGTCAGAGAGGATCCAGATGTGCCTTTTCTGCCTGGCTCCGAATTCACGAGAATAATCCGGATCATACTGGACTGGTAGATATCAGGACTCTCTCGTCTTATATCGCGCATTTATTGGCCGAGGTAGCTGAAAGAGATGTTTTACTATCTCGGCCCGTTCTCACATGGTGTCTAACTCAAGACGGGCTCTAGATACAGGACTAAGAATAACTTAGAGACGGGCTCTAAAGCTCCTTTTTGCCGCGGAAGCCCGTATATCGCCCCGTGATCTGTGATGAGCTAGATTTCCTCTTTGGGTGAGCCATATAGAGCAGGCTTGTCCGCCAAGAGACCTAACTCGGCTATTCCATGAGCGTAAGAACACGAGCTAGAACCGGCTATTGTGTTCTTTGACAGTAACTAATCCAAGCGTGAGCATGCTGCTAGGCTATGATTAGCCAGGGAAAGAGTTTTAGGCAACTTGCTTCTAGTCTCTGGCAAAATGGTGTATAATACTATTGCAGATGCCTTCAATAAACACATACACACGATCGAGACACCGCTGGTTGGCATATTATTGAAAAATCAAAAAGGGGTATCATTGTTATTCTCGTTGCGCCAGACCCAGCCGCCATAATCTCCATCATTTCGCCAAAGCCTCATCTCTGGATTCCACACTTTCGCTTGACGCCTTGTCGGCCCTCTTCATAGCATATCCCTCTACAAACCCGTTTGGGTCACACGTCTTGTCTAAAATGATTCGATGAGCCGCCACGTATCGCCGTACCGCTTCCTTGTCAAGTCGGACGCGAGGAACTTGCTTGACGACCGATTTCGGCTGCTGTTTCTCATCTTCAGCCTCGGCTGATGCTCTCTTGCCGCTCTGCTTCCCTTCCTCTTCGCCGGCGGCTTGTTTCTTCTTCTTTTCCTCTTCAGAGAGTGGCAAGTGTGTCTCTTCCACCGGTTCCGGCTTTCCGGGCCCGATACCTGCATCCTCTACAACGCCCATATCCCTCAACACACTCAGACAATCCTCTGATGAAATCCACGTCGCTTGGCTGCAATCCTCAACGTCCACCAGTGTTTCCGAGGCATTTTCTGAATCCACTGGGGCGATCTCGAGGCCAAGTAGCCAACGAGCAATCTCCCCAGCCCAGAAACGTTGATATCCCTTCTTGCCAAGATCAGATATGGGTTTCTCAGGCCCACCCATGATGCCTTCTCGTCGAGAGATTTCGTAGGAGGCGCCCATTAATAGGGCCCCAAGACCTTTGCGTTGCCATGGAGGGAACATGAGAATACATGCCAAGTTGTTGTTATCCCATGACATTTTTTCCTTTGAGAAGAAGCCCGTGATTTGTGGTGTTACAGGAGGCGCAGCCGTGCCAGACGGTGCCGCCGCTGTTGGTGGTGTATATACCAACAAGAAGTAGTTGAATCCAGTCACGTCAAAGAAGACTGATTTGTTATCTAAGAAGAGTTTGGCAAAGAGCGATAGATTCTGACAGAAGAGCTGAGTCAAGGGTTAGCATACTGAGAGCTGAAGAAAAGTGATAACCTCGGTAAAGACTCACCACATCTTGCTCTCCATCCACCTCCCAAAGGCTCCATTCGCCTTCATCCTGCACGATTTCCTCCACGTAGCGTATATTTCCTTCTCCTCGCCGCTTCTTCTGTCCCGGGGCCCTGCTGCTGCCATCTTGCGCAACATACACCATCCGTCTACCCTTGGGATGGACATAGACCTTCTTCCCTGGCACATGAGCTCGCTGCTGGCATAGTTTGACATGCCCCCACCAAGCCACAAGCTCTTTGGCATATTTGAAGCAGCAAGGACAGACGTACAGCCTCTCTAGCATGGGAGCGCCGTCCTTTTCCTTCTTTGCTGGCGCTTTTCCGCCCGTCTCCGCGGGGCCGTCCTTGCTGCCTCCCTTTGCGTTGCCCGATGTAGCTCCCAGCACTTCTTTCCCGTAGTAACTCGGATACCACGTCCGGAAGCACAGGTTTCCCAGAACAACTTTATCAATATTGCGATCTGTTCTCGGCGGCGGTCGGTCGGACACGGGCAATGTCGGTGGCTTGGGCGGTAGCACTGGCGTAATGACCATTGGGGTCGCTATTTTATCTAGTCTTGGAGGCGGCGCAGAAGGCCCATGAGGCCTCACTAATGAAGAGAGCCGGCCATGCTGGTTCGCCTGGGGAACGTGATACGTAATCTCCGGTGCGACGAGATCCGAGGGTCGCCTACGCTCTTTGGCAGAGCCGCCGCTGGTCAAGTCCGCTGCGGCGGCTCCTCGCTTGAGAGGAACCGGTGCAGCAGCTACTCTGATGGAGTTGGGCGACGGCAGCGGCGGTACTATCGTGCTAGAATTTGGAGCGGCAGCGCTATTTGGAGCAGTCGCCTCGAGGCTTGGGAGAGTAGCAGGATGAGCAGAGGTCTTTGCGCCGGCCGGACGAGCAGCGCCGTTACGGGCGAGCCGCTTTTGCGGATCTGGCATGAGCATCTGAGGCAGAGGAACGGCCGTCACTGCGGGCAGAGGAGCGGCGGCCATCTTGTTCGTCGCTGGCACCGGCGGCAGAAGCGCAGACGCGGGAACCGGTGGAGGATGCACAGGAGTCTGACGCGTCGCACGGCGCGTGGACGAGGATTGAGGGTCAGGATCGGGCTGGGCAGCAGGCTCGTCAGGTCGCTTGCGCTTTTGGGGCATCGCTTGATGCTTCTTTTTGTGCCAGGAGGAAGACGAGCAATTGTAGTTTCTAAAGCCTAAAGCCCGGCAAAGGGAGCTGACAGCCTCTCGAGCCTTGTGGGTTGGATTCGACGATCGACGAGGGGCCGCGGGCTGGGACGTCACGGGACGACTGGGCGCAGAAGAGGATGCGACGAAGCCATCTAGGAGCAGGAGATCTATCAATTCAAGTTTCGCAGTATAGAGGTTACGAGTAGACGTGCACTGGTTCTCTGGTATGGATTTGCTGGCGGGCAGGTGTTGGCTGTCGTTGAGCGCGGAAGCTCAAGCTTGGCCCGTCACGTGGGGCCGCGTAAAGGGCGTACATGAGGTTCTGACCAAGTTGGTGTACAGCTGAATTTTGATTGATTCAACACTGCTAGCTGCAATCGATATACCGATGGCATTTGATTGTTTTAGACTTGATGCTCAGATCAATTGGGCCAATTGTTAATGTCTTTGTTGTTCGGCAGCTTCTACCTCTGTAAGTGCCATGCTGACATCACGTCCATGGCTCCAGTATCTAAACCACGTATGTTAGGATGGCTCTTATATCCCCAAGATAAGAGATCCATTTACGATGATATTGCATTTTAATGAACGAATGATTGCCTACCTAGGTAGTAACTAACAATTTCTCTTTACAGAAAAAACGATGAGAAGAGATTTTCTTGTCAAATTTTGACCCCCTAAGCAACTCAGTGCTGTCCAGCATCCATAACCCGCTGCAAAGTCTCATCGCCTTGCTGCCAATCTTTAACCAGAGTCAGCAAGCGGCGACGGGCCAGTCCAGCATCCCGATTCCGATACACGCTGTCGATTTTACGAACTACCTTGTCGCTGACCAGCCAGCGTTTCTCCTCGGCCATGAAGTCCGCGTACGACACGTCCTCGCCAAAGGTCTTCCTCACATTGGACTCGAGGTGCTCTCGGATCGCCTTTTCAGACTTGATCTGCTCCGTAGAAGGAGCATCTGGGTGAGGGAATGCCGAGTCAATCGACGGAACAAATGTCACGGATTTCCTAGTCGGGTCAGCCAAGATTGATGTTGCAAAGAAGTATATCAAGCTTGGGTTCTCCAGAATCGCCGGCGTCAGCTTGAGGAGACCAGGAGGCGTGGTAGCACAGTGACCCAAGTTGAAGTACTGCAACTGAGGCGTGTTCATAAAGAGTTCCGACATAGCCGGGATGGCTTCATCTTCGATGTAATTGTAAGCCTGGCTGAGATCCTCAGTGGCATAGGCTTGACCAAGATCAAAAGTCCGGATACTGGGATGTCCAGTCAGGGCTTTGCACAGCGCCACGGCACCTTGGGTGCTGACTCCAACCGATTGTACGAGCAGTCGAGCCAGATACGGTGCCTTGGGCAGTGCTTCAGCGAGAGCCTGGACGCCCTCATCTCCAAGCGGATTGAGTGACATATAAATCGAGGTTACACCACAATACGGCGACGCGAGGAATTTGCCGATAGCAGCAGCTCCCTTGGTCGACATGCCAACGCCGTTCAAGTAAATCTGTCTCAAAGGCAACTTGTTCCCATCAGGGGAAGAATAAGCGGCCAGACGGGTAAACAAGTCAGCGACGCCGCAATCTCCAAGCTCGGTCTGATCAAGATCCAGCGTGCTCAAGTTCTTCGTCTCGGTGATGAGACGATACACGTCCTCGGCGGCATTAGGCCCAAGCGGATTGCGTTTCAGCCAGATATTGGTCACGGCAGGCGACTTGACCAGCGCATCCACCAGAGTCTTGAAGCTCTCCCCGCCTTGGATGCAATTGCCCGCAAGATACCAAGTATCCATGCGATCTGGGAAGTCGCTGATGAACCGAGCAATGGCCTGGACGCCAGTCGGGCCAATGATGTTATTGCCCAGCAGGAAATGCCGAACGTGGGTATTCATCCGCAAGCTCTCCATCAACTGACCAATATGATCAGGGCCGACAACCATTTTGCAGAGATCCATCCGCCCATCTTCATACACGACTCCTCGACGGAACTCTGCGCCACGGACGCTGTAGTACGGCTCGCCGTTGCCATCATGGAGCTCAACAGCACCGTTCACACCGTCAATCTCGTGATCGCCGCTTTTGGACAGATGCTCAAAGAATGGCGCCAGCTCTTCTGCCTGGGCAATCTGTACTGGCATGGGAATAGCTTTCGGGCCGCCAAGTGATATGGGTTTCTTGACGGCATCCCACGGTCCCTGTCCGGTGATGCGGCTAGCCCAAGCCGGGGCTTGGACGCCAGGTTCCACGCCTCCAGTCATGCCTGGAGCCATTTTGCCATTGCGTTTGGTGGCCTGCAGCAAATCATAGCGACGCTGGAGAGAAGCCCATGCGCGAAGACGGACACGGTCGGCGTCGTAGCGAATGATGGACGTCAGCGAGCCGTCGTGGACCGGGTGCAGTAGCGACGACACAGCGACGGCGAGGTTGTGTCGAGTCGATTTCCGGCTGGGCAGGTCGTGCAGGACATCTTCGATCCTGTGTTTGTCGAGTGGCAATTCGAGGATATCGTCCGCCGTGTAGCCATGCGAAGGCCTAAGGATGTCGACCATGTGATTATTCAGATCGTTGAGAGCAGCACGACAGAGGCCAGCCAAGTGAGCTGCTTCGTCCATAGAAGCGTGTGAATCGGCATTCAAGCCATCTACTGGCTTGATTTGAAGCGTGAGAGAAGGATTCGAGCTGCCAAGCAGCGTAACCTGCGTAGCCGAAGCCATGATACCAAGTGATGATGCTGCAAGATGTCGAACTGATATTGCTGCGAGATGCGATGACCAACGTTTATCTGCCTTAAAGAAAACACGCGACATTTGATCCTCTTATATATAGACAAACATGCACAGATACATCGGCTAGGCGAGGCATACTCCCGTATTTACTCCCAGCCAACACTCTTGGCACGCACAGCAACGAAGCCCCGTACTATAGCCATCAGCCACACGCCTCCATCCCCTCACTCTACAGAATCCTGCAAGATGAACAAATCCACAACCAATAGGGATCATAATCAGTCATCATCTTTGCACTAACTCAATCGGAGAAAAAACTTGACATGCCAAAAGGCGCGCAGCACGCAGGCATCCATCCGGGTGAGTCAAAACACCACAGACCGCTAAGCGACGATAGCGGAAACATGTGATCCATAAGGGCGTTAATGCAAAGTTTAAGAAATCCTTTATTCTTCTCTCTCAATAAAAACGATCTCTATTTTTCGCCACTGTAGAATGTCAATGGCAAAGGGCGTAAGGCTGCATATCCATGTCATGTCTTTGGTGTGGCTGTGTTGATGGCTGCCTATTTCATGCATGGAACTCGCTTAGAACGCTGTGGAATAGTATAGGCTATCCACAGCGAAGATAGTGGTATATGACCCTACTAGTATGGGTTATAGTCCATCCTATGAAATACGAAACTATGTTCCAGGCGTTTTTTAGGGTTCAGGTTTCAAACTTTACTTGAATATCAATAACTGTGATGTAGTAGATCAAATAATGGCAGCTTCCACTACACAGGAGCGAGCCCCTTTCGGCAGAGCAGATACCTATATGTGTACTAACAGAATGCATGCATCTCGCCAAACCCATCCCTTAACAATGGAATACATCTGTATACGGCCCACCAAACTGTTAAAAATAGGTTCATTTACTTACTGAGGCTATTATCTGACCACTTATCTCTCATGGCCCATATGCCCCCCAGCCGTCTATAGATCTGCTCCTCACTATTTTAGATGTCTACCAGCACCATATCAAGTCAATCACAATCATGTATGCCTCTAATAATCGCCCACTGAGCATCTTCAAGGCATAGCACAGTTACTAATCACATGGTAAGAGCCACTCGATACATCTTCTGTAAAACTCGGGGTTATTGTTTGGTGTAATAGTAGAATGTAGCCATAGTAAACATATCAGCGTGGGTAAAAACAAGTTATTAGATGCCATCCAAATCTCCACCAAGGTCATCGTCGTCCAGGTCGCCCTCCTGAATCTCCTTGGCCATTTCTCGCTCGCGCTCGCGCGCCTCTTGGGCGTTCTTGAGCTCGAGGCGGTGTTGATTCATGGGGAAACGCATTGCCTGATAGATAGTTAGTTTGAGGTAGTTAGATATATGTGGCAATTGGAAAGTAATAACAAAGAAGAAAAGATTAAAGGGAAGAAAACTCACCTTGACGCTCTCATCGTGAAGAGCAAGGCACGCCCGGATTCGGTCATGGAACGCCTCTCCTGGCTCTCTTGTCGCATACACATCACCCACCTCCTTGCTCTTCATGAATCCGTTTTCTCTATCCAAAGTGGCCTCAATTACGCCGTCTCGGATGGCCTTTGCGACAATGTACTCGGCCGATTCCTCGCTACCCAGATGAAGTCGGATGCAAATGTCACGCAGCGAAATACGCGAATATGACAGAGACATCATACGAATGCCGGTCTTGATGACGTTTTGGCGCAGACGAAGGATAAGTGTATAGGTTCCGTCTCGCTTGAAGATGTCGGCGTTATCAGCGATGGTAGTCTCAAAGTCTTCCAGGTTGCCCACTCGCACGGCGCGAACCAGCAAAAAGTATGGGTGGAGAGCATCCTCCAGAGAAGGCTGGCGGAAGGTAGCTCTGTCGGGGATATCTCCCATCAACAGCTCAACAACAAGCAACAGCTTGGTGGCAGTTTGTGAAAATCCCACGGCACAGCCGCTCGACGGCGCCTTGCGGGTGGCGGCTGTGAGATGCTCGTGCGCCTCCGTGTATCGCAGTTGGATGGATCGGATCCGACCCAGATAATACAAGAATCGTGCCACTTGGTTGTTGGCAGCGTTCTCGGGGAACTGTGTATGTGAGACAAGCAGGTCGGCTTGCTTAATATGGGAGGTCAAGAGATAGTTTCTTAATAAAAGGACAATGACCGAAGCCTGAGTGTCGGTGTCCTTACGTAGCACGGCAGTTCGAAGGACGGCAAGAAGAGTAGGTCGAATAGCCACAATGGGCGATTCGGGAGACGGGGGCAGCGGAGCAATGTACTCGCAAAAGAGTGAAAAGTAAAAGTAGACCTTGGCGGAGAGGCAGTCCAGCGTTCGACGGTTCAGAGTCTGGATGCGATCAGACAGGAATTTGGAGAACTCGGCTCCTTGCTGGTACTGTTTAGCGTCAAAAAGATGAACTTGGACCAGGATGCCCAGGAAGACGTCAATCTCCGGAATGATCTCCTTGGGTTCCTTCTTAGAAGTTCCATTCTTGACGGTCTTGACGTCGCTGTCCACGTCCATCTCGGCGCTGGCGGCACGGCCAAGCGTGACGTTTCCTCGGTCAACGGCAGCTAGGAGGCTCTTCGCAATGCTGTCCGACGCCGAATTGGCGGGGTATGTGTCGGCAATCGCCTGTGCAATGACATCTGGTGATAGGTGCTTGCGGATGAGAGAGATTGATCGGAGGGCTCGCAGGGAGAAGCGGGCGTCGAAGAGCGCAACAGCTCGGTCAAGAAGAGCAAAGTTGCTCTTGATGTCTATGTGCAGCAACAAAACGAGATCATGTCAGCGAAAATGAAACAAAAAGGCACCTTCACGCTGGAGATATATGCAGCCATCTCAGAATCTTGTTTTGCTTACCTGCTACAGCTTGCACTGCGGGATCAACCTTCTCCTCCTTGCCTTCGGCGCTGTCGACATCCATTGCCACGTCGCCTTCAGCGTCAGTTGCCGGGGCATGCTGCTTAGGAGCTTTTGACGGCGGTACAACCACGGTCATGCTATCGTCGCCGTCCTTTCCAGCTATTCCACCGTTGATATTAGCTTCCTTGGTCTTCTGGATGTCATTTTTCGAGGGGTCCTCTACCGTTGTTGTGGGGTGCTTTGCTAGGCATGATGATGGCTCAGCACTGAAGATGCTGCAAAAGAACTCAAAGTGCTTCCTGAGGATGATTCAAAGATACAAAGCTAATCTATACGATTGGCTCAAACGAAGATCGACTGAGTGGATAGACCACGTCTTGCGTTGGGTCAGCTAGACGTCCACAGAAGCGTGTATCTGCCCACGGCACGGAAGCACGGCTGGCGAAAGGCTAAGTCTGGGGTCGACAGAGGTAGAGGTTCGAGTTCGTTCGCGGCAGTCGGCCTGGAGCAAGTCGTGAGCGCCGAGCTGGGGACCGCTGAGGCTCGCTTCGTGGTGATTGAATTGCTTGGTGTTTGGAGGTGCAAGAAGGCTCGAAGCTTGGAGAACAATTGGCACGGCCAGTGCATGAGGGACAAGGCTAGCGATGTCGCGGTACCCGCAGCTTCGCAGTGATTTGGGTGGGCGCGCAGGTAACCTGGACTTGCCTAAGGCCATATGCTGTAAGCTGTGGTCGCTGTGGGGCTGGGCCGCCACCTTGCCGGGCTGTAGTGACGTTTGCCATCCTGGTGCCTACAGCCAGCTTGAGGCTGGACAAGGGCTGTGAAATGTAGAATAAGGACAAGCACCGTGATAACCACTGTGCTTCTGATCGATGCATCAAATCTAAAAATGCAAATCTTTGATTTTAGGAGATATCCCATATTGGACGACGACTAAGCTCAAAGTAGCATTGATTTCCCTCTGTGAGGCTACATGAAGAGGCAGACGATGATGCTTCTACCACCGGTATATCGATATTACTAACCAGTATCCATATACCCCTAAGATACAGCTCGCATAGCAAATTCCAGAGCTCAATCATCGCGTCACTCCATGTGTTTATTCCAATTAAATGCGTTACGAAATCCATTATCTGTAATTCGTAATTACTCTTAGTGCGTCTGGATCATCTCCGTCTGTCGATATAAACGGCCAGAAACCATCGTGGTTTGCCCACATATAGCAAGATTAGATGAGCCGTCGGTTCCTTGTGGCTCTTGTTGCAAGCCAGCCCTTCATGAAAAGCAAACGTTAAACAGCCTATATCCACCTAGCCAGGTATCCGTTGTTATTATTCCCTAAAACGCCGTTTCGTATCAAATCTCATTACCATCCAACCCTGAAAACCAAGTTGACCCAAAGCGAGAATAGCAGCCGGGCCCAAACTTTGCCCAATTTCATTGAGAAATGCCATGAACAGATGTTCAACTCGTCGCATTACTCGCCCTTTCCAGGCATTACCTTGGCTGCTTGCACAGCACTCATCTTCGCGATCCAGCCCGTAGATGGCTGGACTTTGCGGACGGTCCGCAGTTCATCAGAGGAGTAACCCGGAACACGGATGTTATAAGTTCGCTCGAGCACGAGCTGAATATCTCGTATTTCAAGCATCTTGGAGCCGCGCTCTTTGGAGTTCCTGCAGGCGGCATGAAGGACGTTGTCGACGAATGAATCGGCCAAGCTCAACACACTCTATTGCACAGTTAGTTACACACACATCACTATAACTCGTTCCATCAGTCATGTATCCTTACCTCCTCCACTTCCGGAGTCAGAAAACTGCCGTCCTGGCCCTCCGCAGGTCCTCCGCAGACTTGTCGTACAAGCTCATCCAACTTTTTCTTGCTCAAAACGTGGTCGCCTTCAGCATCGTGATTGTAGGCTGGTATTCTGGGCACAGCTGGTTGGTTCATGACTCCTCCCACAGTTCCACCTCCTTGAGACATGGTTGGTCGTCCAGGAGCGACACCGCCACCGACTGCCACTCCCTGAGGAACTGCAGTGGCCTTTTCTGGCAGTTGCTTGGGGATCGGCATTCTTGGTTGAGCAGTAGCAGGCTGCTGCGTAGGGTGAGCATGGGGGTGGCCTTGTTGGAGTTGTGCTCCCGATACTCCCATATTAGGATTGTTCACAGTAGCTGCAGCTGCAGCCGTGTTCATGTTTGTAGGCTGGTTAGGTAGCGGAGCGCTTCCAGGCGTGCTTCCGGCTGCTCTTTGATTAGCGAGAGACATGGCGGCAGAATGGCTGAGAGCTCGTGTTGGCTGTCCTGGGCCAGCTACTGGGGTTGCAGTTTGTGGGGTTTGTACTCGTGCCGCTGCTTGAGCAGGAGATGCAGTCTGTTGAGCAACCTGAGCCTGTGCAGCAGCTGAAGCGAGAGCTGTGTTGACCGGTGCGGGCCGCGGTGGTTCCGTCTTGACTTGAATCTGAGGCTGGGGCTGTCCCTGAGGCTGAGCGTGCATCTGCTGCTGCAATTGTGCTTGTTGCTGCGACTGCATCTGCTGCTGTTGCGGTGCTTGCATTTGCGGTTGCATCTGCTGCTGTGCTATGGGAGCAGTGTTCGGAACCGGTCGTGCTTGCGGCTGCAGCGTTGGCGTAGAAACACGATTGCCGGCTGGCATCTGCTGTTGGTTTTTGGCCGCCTCTACAGCAGCGTTGCCAGGCATTTGCGCAGGCAAATTTCCACTCTGTGGTTTGTTTGCGGCAGTGCCAGCAGCTGCTGCAACTGGCGATGCGGATGGCATGACTGGAGTAGCGTTGCCAGGCTGGCCAGGAGCATGTGCAGCGCCAGCGGCGCCAGCGGGAGCTTGGCTGGCATGAGCAGCAGCTCCTTGAAAGTTTCCTTGCTGTTTGCGAACACCCTCAACCCACTTGTGAGCCTCAGAGTAAAGCTTCAGCTGTTGGTCTTTTCTCAGCTGGAATTTTTGAAGTTCTTCATTTTTGAGGGGGTTCCCCTGAGCATTTCGTTCGTTCATCAGCTTTTCCCAGTTGGCAACATTGTTCTTCGTAGTATCCATGGTCATGAGCGCCCGTGCAAACCGTTCCTTCATTTCATCCATCCATTTGGCGCCATCCGCAGATTTATCTGCCAGCTGCACCGGAGGTCGAAGTATAGCGGCGTTGGCCAGTTTCATGTAGTTTTCAGGTATCTTGGGTCGTTGCGCTACCGCTGGAGCTGCTGCCGCTGGTGCTTGTCCTTGAGCATTCTGCGCCTGACCAGCGCCTCCAGCTGCCGTAACTTCGGTTCCAGCACCTTGTGTCTTCTGCTGCTGAGCCTGGGCCTGAGCTTGTGCCTGAGCTTGTGCCTGAGCTTGTGCCTGAGCTTGTGCCTGAGCCTGTGCCTGAGCTTGTGCTTGTGCCTGAGCCTGAGCCTGAGCCTGAGCTTGTGCCTGAGCCTGAGCCTGGGCTTGGGCTTGGGCTTGCAGAGCGGCGTTCGGCTGCTGCTGCTGCTGCTGCTGCTGCTGCTGCTGCTGCTGTTGTTGTTGTTGTTGTTGTTGTTGCTGCTGTTGCAACTGTTGCTGTTGTGGCTGCTGTTGTGGCTGTGCCCCTTGCGGCCTTGCTTGAGGCTGTTGCTGACCCTGCTGCTGAGCGGCAAGTGTCCTTCTCTGCTGGATCTTCCCAATCAGCATTCGGGAGAACTCAATAATCTTCTGTCGAGCTGCGATCTGGTCCGGGCTGTTGGTTGGGGAGCCGTTCATCTTAGTCCAGAGACCCCGCAGTCCTTGCTCGTATTTGGTCTTCTCATCATCGCTGAGAAAGGGCAGGTTTTTGATCTGGCCGGGCTGATACATTGGAGGCCGGTTCTGAGCAGCAGGAGCCTGTGCACCACCCTGAGGCTGAGGCTGGCCTTGCTGGGCCATTTGGCCTGGGGCTTGATTCATCGTCGTTCGCAGACCGGATTCAGCCAAAGCAGGGCTAGCAGCTGTTGAAGAAGCAAGAATCTCGAAGAAAAAGCAATAACAAAGTCTAATAGAAAGCGATTCAAGGGCGGCGAAGCAAGCGACGAACGGACGACGCGTTTAAAGGTTAAAGTTCGCTGAGAAGGCTGTCACAGTTGCATCGTAGCTGGCGCATCCACCAATTAAATCACCCAGCCATGGGTCAAGTCGTTTGCACAGGCAACAGTCGGACTTTTCATCGGCCCGCGAAGTGCTGGCGAGTTGCTTACTTAATCGGTTATCGCCCGCTATAGACGCAGCAGTACTGCAGGTGGGTATCTACCTAGGATGATGTATGAAATGAGGAGATGTATGTGCTTCTATGTATATGCTCCTATATAACGTATAGAGATTGATCTTGAGATTTGATCTTTATCATTCCCATAAGTGGGTCGCTAAGCAACCCGAAATCCCACCACTGCGTCGTTTTATGTAGTACACGAGTAGGTAGACTGACAAACAGGGCATCACGGCAGCATGTTAGGTTGAGATCAGAACCGTTGTTCAAATCCAGTTTTATTTATAGAGCAACCGATGGTCCTCATTGCCAACTTGGGAATTCTATTAATTTTACTCACTTACGTGTCAATGAGCATTCTAGTTCCCACTTTCACGGGGAAAGGGGAGAGAGAGCATAATGATCTAGCAGTGGTCCGTGGAGAGTTCCCCTAATGACTGCATAAAGATGTTTCTCGCGGCAGCTGTTCCTGTTTCCGTGGACCCTCCAAACGCTGCATGCGCTTGCTTGCAAATACTGGGCACTACTCCGTACTAGTTTTAGTATTTACTTTGTCCTATATACTCTATCGATGTGACAGGTTGCTTGTATGGATTGATCATATCCCCATGCCAACTCCGCTGTTATATGCATATTGTATAGTGCTAGATGCGAAGATGGTCCCAGGCAGTTGAAGTCACCTATCTGTGTGGAATGAGATACTATGAGCATATCCTACCTCTCTAGACATTCAGTCGTTCTAATAGAAGCAAAGATAGCGTATGAAGTATTACAAGTAGGTAGTATCCCGGTATGCGTGTTTGCTACGCGATATGCTTCATGTTAAGAAATGCCTTGTGGTCAATGCACTTACATCGACCATCTACTCTCGTCGCATGGCCAACTTCTCCTAACTCCTGAACAGAAAGAACCGTCTCCTGAATTGGCACATCCCCCCTTGACGCAGATTTATTACTCCTCACTTGATCATCTTGTCATGCATCGCGATTGTCCAATGATACGAGCCAATTCTCCGGGCGGCGAGCAAATCCCTTATGCGGTTACTCGCCGTGGCCGCCCAATCAAGCAGGCCCAGCTTCGAGTTGCAGACCCAGCTGCACACCCCAGCCCTTGACAGCACGCTACAATAGCGCTGCTGTTAGTGTTTGTTCCAGAAGCAGGTACGGGAGTAGGTCTAGCAGCGCCGTAAGATCAATGGCTGAACTGTAGATTCGCAATAAGCCCGCCATGCGCCGGGACAAACCAATGACACGGCGTATCAGGCATTTTCATGTCACGAACGCGCGCGCGCAAATGAGAGCGAAAAAGCCGGAACTCTGAGGAGTTTTTTTTGTTCTCTCTCATTGGATTCCGGCTATTTCCACCCAAGATGAAATCTCTGTATCTTGTCTCGGTAGAAAGCAGGTTTGAGGGCAGTCTAAGTGGGCAATAAGGCCACTGATGGGTAGAAGCATTGCTGCCCGATGGTCCGGGTGGATCATGTAGGTGCTCGTACCTGCAGTATGATGCTTCCAGTAGCATCCAATCTGTACTCCATCCCGCCAATCGCGCCAAGGAGCTGTCAGAACTGCCAGGATTGCGCGGCAAAGACACGGAGAAAGACGCTGGATGGATGGATGCGCCGTAAATAGGGATCCTGTGCGTATGTTTGGGATAAGATTCGCAGCGCGGCCGCAGGTGTGAGCTGGGAACGGGATGATGCTGTGCCACACCATGCGCCCCGGAAACTCACAGGAGCAGTGAGTGAGCAGCTAACAAGACGCCCTCCACATCAATCTGGAAATGCAACACAAGACATCTGAGGTTTCGCTGTTTTGCTGTTGTCACGCTGGATGGGCGGGCCGAGCCTGAAGCGGCAAGGGAGCTGTCAAGAGACTCACTTAATTACATCTGGTATTGAACCGCTGCTGCACATTCATCGTAGACTACCTGTGACTGACTGTAATAAATCCGCCGTGCCTCGTTCAATCTCTCTCCATTCTCTTTGCGGCTCTGGTGTTTATGCACCGCAGGCTAGATGCCAGAGCGCCACTTTTTGTTGGCTGCATTGCGTCCGGCCTTCTCCAGACGCTGAAACAAGGTTCCTCAGCCCGTCGTCCCGACGCTTCGGCTGATGCACATGGAGTTACATGTTGTCCTGCCGCTTAAAAAGGCCTCGCCATCCAGCAGCGGCCGGTTATTCGCCTGTCGCCTGCAGCCCTCGCTCGTCTGCAGCATCCAGGCAGCAGATCGCAGATCCGCCCAGGGCTGAATTTGGCCCTTTTCGTTCCCGCCTGTCCCAAACAAGTTCTTGTGTGCCTGGTGCCTGTTTTGGTTTTTCCATTTCTTATCGGTTGGTTCCCTCAGCCTTTCTCTTTCTCTTCTTCTTCTCCTCCCTCTCCTCTTCTTTCATCTTTGTTTCGCCCCTCTTGGTACTTCCCTTCTTCCTCTCCTCCCTCTTCTGCGCTCTACCTACTCCCGTCTTATATACCGCTGCCGCCATCATCATTGCGCCATCATCGCTTTTCCTCCCTCCAAGTCGCCAACCAGCTGCTGCTCTTTGATAGAAGCCGCCGCGTCGTGTGGGTGCCAATCACGGTGTGACCAACACGCCGACAGCCAGCGCCAGGCCTTCCAGAAACATTATCATGCCCTTGACCGCAAACAACGCCTTTTCTTCTCCATCCTGGAGGTTCCTACTTTGGACCCTAACTCCTTGACGCTGCAACTGTTTCCATCTCCTGTATCAGTTACCTACTGCGAAAACAGAGCCCCTCGCAATTAGCCTGGTTCCTGCGCAACTACTTACTACTGTACAAGTAACTGCTACCACGCTGTATGTCATGATTCCTGCTTCTACCCTGCTCTGATGCTGATGGTCGCCACCCCGCGCAATAGACCACGATCTTGTTTTCCGCTCTCTCCCTTTTCTCTCATTCCAAGCGAAAGCGCCCGACGCAATCTAAAAGACCCGCGCAGCCAATTGAGCGCAACTTCTCGCGACTCTAGTCCGAGACACGACCATCTTAGAGGACCGAGACAACGGAACAAGCCCGTGGCCAGATAAAAAGAGAGACAGCCCCCGGGCGACTCATTCAGTCATACGTTTCACTCGGACTGAAGGTGCTCATCCACGTTTCTCTCCACCTCCATTACCGCTATCACGGCACACAACCATGAATCGACACGGCAGAAGCACGCGAAGGCGGTCTTCAACGCCACATTTGAAGCTGTCGCCAGCCCATCTGGTCGCGCTGCAGACCGCTGACCCAGCTTCACCGCCCGACACTCCTGTCGCCTCGCCAGACTTCCCCCGCAAGGACAACCAAGCCGCAATTTACCTATTGGCGAACTCTTTTGCTCAAGACCCAAACATCAGGCCATATGGAAGCGGCCATCAGTTCAGCTACCGCCCGTTGGAGCAATTGAGCCCGCGATCGTCATCTTCATCCGAAGCCGACAAGGAGCATTCGATTGGTGGCGATTCTTCCGAAAGCGCTAGCGTTGTCAGCCTGTCAACCTCTGCGGTGCAGCAACTGCTACGCGCTTCGGCTGAAACGAATGCCTTGGCATCGCATGAGCTGGATGCATCTGGAGATGCCGATGCAGAATCGGAATCTGATTCTGAGGCTGATTGCGAGGCGGAGCCAGACAGGCTTAAGCGAGCAAAGGTTGCGCACGGCCCCGCGACAAGCATCCCTGAGATCTGTGAATTTGCGGTTGACTTTACGATTGAGGATATGGATCCGATGGACAGTGAGTGGGAAGGCCTGGATGTCGTCCACCCCACTGAGATTGAGAGTGAATCCGATGCCGAGGCGCTTCCAAGTCAGCCTGCGTCTCAGCAGAAGGATTTAGATCAAGACATGATGCAAGACCTCGAGAATCTCAACTGCAGCAATGAGGCATCTGATGACGAGACTGAACCTGACGAGGATGACGCAGAGTCGGAGTTTAGGAGAAGGCAGCAGGAGCTGAAGCGCATTCGAAGAGTGAGCATGTCCAGCAGCTTCGGTAAGAGGACGCACAGCGAGCTGAGCGACTCGGACGACAATGACTGCGCTCTCGACGTGAACGAGGCCGGTTCCAGCGCTCGGCGATTCCGCAAGAGGGTCCACCGCGGCAGCTTACTGTTCCAGGATCCTCCCGCGCCTCGAATTGATGAGCTGGAGGAGCCCAATTCGAGTGAGGATGAATATGCCAACGAGATGCGCCTTGCACGGGAGCTGCCATACCATGCAATGGGAATGGACACTGACTCGAGTTGACGACAGAGAGCAAGAAACAAGTCATGACACCAAAAAAAAAAAAAAAAAAAAAAAAAAAAAAAAAAAAAAAAAAAAAAAAAAAAAAAAAAAAAAAAAAAAACAAGCCAAAGCAAAAAAGGAACAAAAAAATCCCAAGAGTTCTCTGCGGAGAACATTCATGGTTATTAGACAGCGAGCCTGCTTTACTATACATGATGACGAATAATGTAACGAGCATATTAGAGAGGCACGTTGAAGCCTCAAGCAGAGTTCCCATGGGAAGCTGACATTTACTTATTACGGCACGGTGACTATACAAGATAAATCATCTGGATAGCCGAGAGAGCAGAGTCTAAGGCAAAAGGTATTCAAACTTGCTCGCCGCTGCGTCAAACACTTTTATATTTCAGCATGTGCCGAAATGATTTTCTTTTCCGATACCTTTATAGATTACTGCGCTTGCATCATCTAATTTTTTTTTTTCTTTTTTTTTCTTTTAGTTCAGATCAGAGGGTAGATGGAGGTAGACTTGCTTGACATCTCGATATTCATATATGGCTGAAAGTTACAAGTCACACTTGATAGACAATAGACGAACATTCCTACTGTTTCCCCTGGCTTTGCTCAGAAGTAGGCTGTTTATAAGAAAAGCTACCCAGCACTCCAGCGATAGCATGGGCTACTGATGCTACTTTTATGTATTTGGCAACTGTGTATTTGAATATGTAGATTGGCTGCCATGTTCTGCAATAGCCCGGGTGCTGGATAGCTTTCCCCTTGTTTATGCCCATGAGCTTTATCTTGGAGTGGGAACACAGCAGATAAGCCCCGCTGTGGACTGCTGTTCGGAGCTCCAAGCCGCCACAGATCCTGGTGGGGTGGACGCCATTACCGCTGCCACTTTGTTATGACGACCAAGGTATCTGAGCTATCGTTATCAATCTCGCATCATCAAAAATATCCCACGATCGACAGTCACCACTACCTGGGCAAAGGTGTTCTTTGGCTTCTTTCTGCATTGCATATCTCATGTAACTCTTGCTGCGACCTGAAAAACAACTACATATACCCTTACACTGTTCTCATTGCACCAAGACGCGTCGTGCGGCCGACCGAAGCCATGGACTCGTCTCTAATGTCAGTTCACCTCGAGCAAATCCAAAGCTCATGTCAGGGAATTGACTCGCTTCCGTAAGATAGATACAATGTGGCTTCCTTTTTATGATGAAATACAAACAACAGCACTTTGCTTACTAGATCTGCCAAGTTTCCCACCTCCAAAAATATTCACCAATGCAATGCTCTCCAACAACGACATCACATCCCTAATCCGCGACACCGAGGCTCACGAACGCGCTCTATTCTCCGTCCCCCCTCCACCTTCAGCCGCCACCATAGCGTCGAAACCCTCCAAACCGTCCGAAGCCGAAGCCGAAGCCGAAGCCAAGCCCAAGAACCGCCGGCAAACAGTCTTCAACGTCGCCTCAGGCGAAGTAACGACAGGCCCGCCAACGCGAGGGGCGCCTCATCGCCGGACCGCCGTGGCCGCTGTCCTCGGCGGCGAGATGCACGAACAGCTCCGGCGAGGCGAGACGGACCGCAAGGGCGACCTGGACGTGGAAGTGCTCCTGCGCGGCGCCGAGAAGCTCTGCGGAGTGTATGAATTGCCAGGGGCTCGCGAGCGCATCGTGGCGTTGCGGGCCAGGCACCGAAATGGGAAGAACACAATGGCTTACTATGAGGCGAGAGTGGCTGAGCAGGCTGAGCAGCTGGCGAGCATGAAGAAGGACTGGATGGATCAGGACAAGGACAAGGAGCAGGACGCGGATGAGGCTCAGCAAGGCGGTAGTGATGGGTGGACGGAGGAGGATTTGAGGAGAGAGGAAGAGGAGGCGAAGCAGATGGAGACGAAGAAGAGGGAGTTGCAGGCGAGGCTAAAGTCTATGGAGAGGGATATTGGAGGGCTGAGGAACATGTAACGGTGCTTATGGAATTAAAAGGCCAAAAAATTGTGATACCCCCAAAATATATAAGCGATAGAGAGCTTGCCTCTATATAAGATTCTACACTAAAGTCTCATCCTTCTCCTTCTCCTCCTTTGCCTTGTAAAGCTGCTCAAACATGGCCGTCACATCATCCGCACCCTCAATCACAAACTTGCCATCCACCAAAATCTTCGGCACGCCCTTCATCCCCAACCTCTCCATCTCCTCCACTTCCCGATCAACATCCTCGCCTCCAGACCCGTCTTCAAGCCACCTCCTAGCCACGTCCCTCTCAATACCAGCCTTCTCCGCCGCAGCGACCAAATCCTCATAGCTCGTGATATCGCCGCCCTCCTCGAAAAACATCTTCATCATGGCCATCTGCACCTTGTCTTCCAACTCGTACCCACCCAGCTCCCGTCCCAAATGCGACAGTCTATGCGAGTCCCTCGTGTTGCCAATCCTTCCGCTAAACGTAAAGCCAAAGCCCTCCTGATCACCCATCTGCGCCATCCGCGCGCGCTTAGAAGCCAGACGGTCGGCGCCGAAGCGCGTTACGGCAATGTCCTGGACGTTGGTGGATTGGCCGTGAGGGATGGTTTTGTCCAGCTGGAAGGCGTGCCAACGGATGGTGAATGTGGACGAGGATGCATTGGGGACGGTTTTCTTAAAGAGGGCAATGGCACGACTGAGACGGGCTCGAGCGAGGTAGCAGAAGGGACAGACGGTGTCAGAAATGATTTTGATGTCGTAGTTTGCCATAGTAGAGGTAGCAGAAGTAATTAAGATTATTTCTTTTCACTTTCAAATAAGAGAATAAGAGATTTTGATAATCAGAAGCTGAATGTTATTTGAACAGATGTGTGAAAGATTAGGGATTTTTTATGGGCGATTATGGAGATGCCCATTATTTTAAATATTTTTCATCCTCCCATTCATCGACCTAAAATGTTTTAAATTGAACAAAAAGTAGTAGCAAATATTAGCTGCCTAGGCGTATCTGAGTTTCACTTTGAAGCTGGTTGCGTGTCCAGCTCGTGTGTAGTTTTGGTGGACTTGCATGGATCGGATCTTTTGCGGAAAACTGCTAGGAGTAGTGGCGCTGCATTTTCCGCAGCTCAGCTAAGAGGGCCAGGCAGACAGTCTTCAAACTTCCAACGCGACTAGCTCTGTGAATTAAACTAAATATAACTCTATTAATGAAGATGCCTAAAACTCCTTGTTTAATCGCCTATCTAAAGATGCGGGTATCATTTCCCTCTATCGTGTATCCAAAATAATTCCCAAGTACGCCTGCCCTATGTACCAGTACGTATGTACAAGCTTTGATGTTCCGCATGAATGACCACTCCCTAATCGCTTCTCTCTCTTCTTCGCCTGCCGTGTACATATGGCTCATGTCTTGATTTCCGCATCTGTTCGCGGTAACCTCGAGCTGGCCCAGGGCGGTAATAGTCGCCTCTGGATCGCATTTGGTTCTGAGTGTGCCGCATTTGAGGCGCATCTTCATTTCGGCTCCGGTCTGGCGCCGGCCCGGATGGAGACTCCTCTGGTGGGACCGGATCATATTGTACTGCTCGATCCCAGTCTTCGAGTCTTGTGAATGGACTTCTAAGCCATGATCGTAACTCGTGCAGAAACACCCGCGTGTTATCTCGGCCAAGAAACTCCGATAGCATGTCCTCAGCTTGGCCGGCGCTGCCCATGATGTCCACAGACTTCAGGATGGCAATAATATACTCCAGCAAGAACTCGGCGTTGTTCGCTCTCCGCCGCGCTTGGGATTCGCTTGGATCAGAGGTGGCAGAAGTAGTAGCAGTAGTCGCAGCAGTGGCAGCAGTGGCAGCAGGCTCATCAGCTGTGAGAAATGAAAACACCTGCAGTTCGCGGCGGATCCACATGCGTGCTCGAGACACAAGATGCTCATCACGGCAGAAGAGGCTTGGTGTCAGCTCCCGATATAGAGAGAGCCGGTTGGAGCCAACATGCTTTGAGAATCTCTTATGTAGGTAAACGTCACGCCGAAGGATCTGAACTCTTTCTGCGGCGTCATTCTGGGTCGTCAATCGAGGTGTCCTGGGCGCTCTAGCTCTGGGGCGCGGAAATGATGGTTGATGGGAGTATGTCCTTGCTGGAGACGGCTTTGGTTTCGGTTCTATAATGGTTGTTTCTCGCCGTTCAGGAGGCCCTCGTTGTACTTTGGCTACATCCCTCTTACAGAGGGGACATAGGGGTTTATCATAGAGCCAGTTCAAGATACAAAGATAGTCAAAGCTGTCATGCCCGCAGGGCAAAAGTTCGCAGGCATCGCTGACAGTGTCTAGGCAGATGACACAGCACTTGGTGGCGTTATCCGACTGTTCTCTTGCAGCCACCTCTTGCAGCGTATTCTGCAGGATCCTGCGATGTATTTCGTCATTTTCGTTGGCCAGCCCGCTTTCCATGTGTCAGCGCGACGATAGGAATGTTGCGGTGAGGGTATCGAGGAGAAGATGCAAGAAAAGGATTATCTATGGAGATTCCAAGTTGCGATATCGACTCTGCTCTTCACGGCTTAGTGGGGCAAGTGACAGCCTGTAGCACTGCTCCGTACAAGGCGCTTCTTCAGTGGGGTTGGCCTGTGGCGGTGGCGGCTGCGGCTGTTTTTAAGTGCTTCTGCTGCAAGACGCGCTTTTCTAATGACAAGCAGCGCGCTTGCATGCGCGACTTGCAGTTCCCCACATGACGCTTTTCGACAAAGGAGGATTCAAGTATACAAAACAAAACCTCTCTGGCTCTTTGTGTCTGTTTATGTTTATTTTCAAGCCTGCTTCACTTCTCTGTTTTGGTCGTCTTGGGCATCCGTTGGCGTTCCCGCAAAAGACATGTCTCTTTTGATATCCTGATTCTTCGCCTTCGATTCAATTGGTGTATACCTCGGTGGATCTTGAGCTGTTCTTTCTACAATGGAAGAGAAAGTCAAAAGAGAGTATGAAGCTAGAGCTCAGAGAGTGCGGGCTGATCTGAAGCAATGGGAGGGAGATTGGGCAAAGACGCATGGCGGAAAGAAGCCAGGCAGAGAGGATATCAAGAACAATCCTGATATAGGTAAGCTTGCATTTCCAACTGCCCACACATAATCTGCCCTCGCTAATCTCGTAAAAGCCCAGAAATATAAAGACTACAACAAGATCCGCGATATAATAGCTAGGAAGCTAGCTCCTCCTTCAGACGCCTCGACCTCAAAAAGCAAGCATGACAAGCGCAAAGCAGTTCCTATGCCAGCAGCCGAGACTCCAATGAAGCGAGCAAAACATGCCGAGACCCCTTCGAAGCGACTAGCCCCGAACGGCGACGAATACATGAACAGCCCGGCTATCTCTAGGAAACTCTTCAGCCCTGCGCCGGTGACAGCCGTTGGGCCGACACCTCAGCGAGATGGAAAAGTCCTCGGGTTGTTTGATCTATTGGTGGAAAAAGAGTTCAAGAGTCCACTGAAGGGCGTGAAGGAGATGGGTCGCCCTGCTAGTTCCCATGCAACTCCTAGCAGACGCAAAAGTCACTTGGGCGAAGATGCTATGGCCAAGTTAGGACTTACTCCCAGCTCTGCCAGCAAACGAAAGCTGTTTTCGACGCCAATGAAGAAGAGGGAAGGACAAAATATGGCCGGAACGCCCACATCCGTATCCAAGCTTCAGTTTGATACACCAGCATTTTTAAAGAGGCACTCACTTCCAACACTGGACGAGAACACAAAATTCGATGCCCCACCTCTACGGCTGCCCCGAAAGCCTCTTGTTCGTGGCCTCAGCGAAATTGTAGCCAGCCTTCGAAGAGTTGAGGAGGAGCAGCTAGACGACGACCTCGAAGCGCTGCGCGAAGTCGAGGCCGAAATGGAGTCCGGCGGTCCCCCTCAGCCTACGATTAAAATACAAAAGCCGGAGCCAAAGCAGGACATACTGGAGCCGGATAGCCAGGCTAAACAGCTGCCTTTGGGTGGGTTCGATGACGAGGGGTTGTATGATAGCCCTACAGAAGATGCCGTAGATCGTGATGGACGGCCAATGAGAGTGTTCAAGAAAAAAGGACAAAAGAGAACAACACGCCGAGCAAATATGCGACCGGTTCGAACCAAGCGACCAACGAACCTAGCTGAGGAGAATGGGAGTGACGAAAATGAAGATGGAGACGGCCAAGACACCATTCCAGACACCCAAGCTCAGGTTGGCAAACCAGATGTCGCAGGCGAGTCTGATAGCGACTTTGAAGATAAAGATGATACCCAGGATGCGAAGAGTGTGAAGACTTCGAAGAAGCCCGCCAAGGAAGAGGGCGTGGTAAAGAAGACGGTCCGCAAAGTGAACCAGCTGGCACATGCAAACTTCCAACGGCTGAAGCTACGGAACAATGGTGCCAAAGGTGGACCAGGCTATAATAGCCGGTTCCGAAGAAAACGATGAAGTATTAGGGATTGGATGCATAATATCATTTTTCGGGGCAATGGGCAAGATGAGATCTACTGTGGTGTGGGCTTGATGGGAAATGCATACAGGGCGTTCTTCGGGATGGGGCGGACATTCAATACATACATACACTCGAGCGACATGGACTTGAGAGCGATATTTTTTTGTACTTAGAAAAAATCAGGCAACTTGATATGATGAAGCATGCATTGGGCTTTTGAGACTAATTGTCCTATTGTGATAGTATCAAACAATAGGTATGTGTGTGGTTACCTTGACCTCACTTTTACCTGACTCTGCACGTATCATGGGATGGACCGTTGACTTTTTTTTTTATATATATTCTTCGGCTTCTTCATTTTTTTTCAATTGTCTTTCATCTTCTTCTTCTTTCTTTACACAAAGCCAATCCTTAGCTAGGGAAGCATCTCAAAGCCCCAAAAATAGCATTCGCTCTGAAGAACAAAGAGGTCTTTCACCTTTGCATCTGTCTGCAGCTGCAGTACACATTTCTGAATCACCACTCCGTTTTTTTTTCCCCTTAACTTCTTTTCTCAGTTGCATATATGCCCCATATTTGGGCTTGAGTTTTTTTTCTACTTTTTTTTTTCAGTCTTGGTCATTTGCAAATATTCTAGGATTGTCATGGATTTTTGAAGTTTTGACATTTCCCCCCTTTTTGTTCTTTTGGTCATTTGGGATCTCATTGGGAGTTATACCACCGGTTTGGGAGTCATTTTCTGCTTTTATTTTCGCTATAATCAACAGCTATTCGCTTTTGCTTACTTTCGGGCCTGATACTCAACGCCCAGTTTTGGTATCTATCTCTGAGGTTGGAAAGGGGCTTGGAAAGGGGAAATGGAGTACAACACAATGTCCGGCGACACAGATAAGAAGTTGGTTTCCTCGCCGAGAAAGAGACTTATAACGAAGAAAGAGAAGGATGAAATCTCCAGGAGCAGCAATGCTTCTAGAATTCATGCCTGGCGCGCTGCCGTCTCAAGTTTCAGCGCCCGCGGCTCAGCATCGCCAGAGTCTTTCATCCGTCGTCGACTTCCGCCTCTTGATTTGGACGAAATTCCGTTGGATCTCAAAAAAGCTCTTACTGGACCGATCGAGACAAGCCAGTTCTTCTCTCCTCCCAGTTCGCCACCTTCATTCTGCTCGACCATTCAGGACTCTGAAGCGACTGATCCTTTATCAACTGTTCCCAGTCAAAGCGTTCGCCAACCGAACACAACTGAGAATTCATCTCCAACTTCAGTTCTAAGTGTTGATATACATGAATGCATTCTATCCGCACCCAAATCCAGCTATAAGGACTTCGAGCCCCCTAATGGCATGTCAATTATGCCCGAGTGGAGCGCTCTTCAAGCACTCTCGCCATACCTGGATGCGTCTCAGACAGATGGATGCGCACAAGATTTCAAAGAGATAGTTCTCAGTGACTTTTCAATCTACCTCGATACCCCCGACTATCCGGAAGAGATGCGGTCTCTCCACCACCTAAACACGAAAATAAGACACGGCAACTTCTTTTTTGACGGCGTTCTCGGTATTGGCAACAAAAAAGTATATGTGCGTCGCATTCAGATAGCTGCGGTTCCCATTGGAAACTACGGCTCAGTCTCAAAGCACACGGTCCGGGGAAATATTTGGCTACAGTCTCCATTGGGTTCTAAACAGGCGTTATTTTACAAATTGGGAAAACCGGCACGGGAATACGGGCGTTTCTATTACCCCTTTTTATGGGTTGCGGATTTGGCGAAGCATTTTGTGGATTTTCTTTGCATCATGGCGGACAACGGGCGCAAGGTTTCTATTCATCACTTTCGATCGACTTTTGTTGCGTGGCTGAAGAAGAGCCACGGGGGAGCGCCGGAGTTTCTGGAGTGGTTGAGCCAACACCCAAGCGAGGACTATCGGACTTCGGTTGTTGCAAACATCAAATTCCTCTATAAGGAGGCTGTAGGGGTGCTGGGCCACCCGAAAGCTTGCTTTCACGCGATATGGGCTGAAGGTTTGGACTTTCAGCTATTCAAGAGCTTGCCTGCGGTGGAGGATCCCCCAACAATCGTTACTCAGTATATATACGATTGCTTTGAGCATTTGCCGTTTGGCGATCGTCTTCAGGTTATTCCTTTGAGCCTCAAGACCACCAAGCTTCGCAATGAGTTGATTCGACAACGGCACTTGGAATACCCGTCGACTTTACACCACACTGCTAAAGATCTTATTGCGCCATCACAAGAAAGCATCAACAACATCAAGCCTGGTGATACCATTTCGACGCACAGAGATGATGTAGCATCTGGAACGATATGGAAGAGAGAGCTCTCCAAGGGCTTCTCAGATGTGGACAGATGGTTCGCCCGGGTACAGTCTGTTCACGTTGACAGAAATGGACTGCGCACGTTTGATGTGATCTGGTACTATCGCCCAGTGGACACTCTCTGTGGTTTGATGAAATATCCATGGAACAATGAGCTATTCCTCTCCGACCACTGCTCTTGCTCAGAACTGTCCAAAATAGACGAAAACGAGATCCTTGGCGTTCACGACGTCGAGTTCTGGGGAACGTCAACAACAAAAGCAGAGTTCTTCTGCCGGCAAACCTATCTCCAGGAAGAACGAAGATGGGTGACGTTGAAGGAAAGCCATTTGTGGTGCGAGCATACTTGGGTACAACAACCAAAGACGACCTCCGCGCCGGCATATCAACCCGGGGAGACATATTTGCTACACCTAGACTTGAAGAGTGACGTTTCAGAGCCCTGTGCGTTCATCGGCCTGGCTAGAGAGGGCAGCGCCAGAGTTTATCAGTTCAAACGACTTCTGCGACGGAGACAAGTTGACTCAAAGGCTCCAAACGCGCGACCAAACGAACTAGTGTACAGCGAGCAAACCGTCAAAGTGAAGAAAAGCCAAATCCTGACCTCATGCTCAGTGAAATTCTTTCGAGATGGTGACAAAATTCCTACACCATATGATCGCGATGGTACAGGAAATCTCTTCTACATCACTCATCAGCAGATTCTCATTGATGGAGCTTCATTTTATACCCCGTTAAAAACAGCACCAGCTTCTCTGCAGCAAGGACCTGTTTCCCTCCCGGCAACAGAAAAGCTTCGTGGCATTGATTTGTTCTGCGGAGGTGGCAACTTTGGCAGAGGCCTTGAAGATGGCGGAGCTATTCAAATGAAATGGGCAAACGACTATGACAGCAAAGCCATCCATACTTACATGGCGAACGTCAAAAACCCCCAAAACGTTCATCCCTTTCTCGGTTCTATTGACGATTTACAACGACTATCTATGCAAGGCGAGTTCGCAAAGAATGTGCCACAGATTGGAGACGTCGACTTTATATCTGGCGGCAGCCCCTGTCCCGGCTTCTCCGCCCTCACCAACGATAAGACCACCGCAGCACAGCGTAAGAATCAATCGCTCGTCGCAGCCTTTGCATCCTTCGTCGACCTCTACCGGCCCAAGTACGGCGTGCTAGAAAACGTCCCCGGCATCGTCAACAAGAAAACAGCCCGCGACCAAGACGTCTTCAGCCAGCTCATCTGCGGCCTCGTCGGCCTCGGCTACCAAACGCAATTCTTCTTCCTCGACGCATCCTCATGCGGCTCGCCGCAGCGCAGGCCTCGCATCTTCGTCATATTCGCCGCACCGGGGCTCGAGCTGCCCAAGAAGCCCGTGCATACCCATTCCCATCCCGCAAACACGCGAGAGCTCGGCATCGGATACCTGCCCAACGGCCAGAGCATGGCAGCTCGGAAAATGCCCACTGCCACTCCATTTAGATACGTGACCGCAGAAGAAGCAGTGTCGGACTTGCCTCCCCTCCACGACGCCCAGCCCGACATCTGCGTTCCGTATCCCGACCACCGCCAGACGAGGGGCCACACCAAAACACAACGAGCTCGCATATCAGCCATCCCAACGCAGCCATGGGGCATGGACTTTGCAACAGCCTGGTACGGCCAAGACCGGTCCAAGGGACAAGCCGGCGCAGGCACAATGACAGCAGCCGAGCGAGACATGTTCTACAAGGCAAGCGGTCCATCCTCGAAAGAGCCCATGAACACGCTCCCCGCCTCAAAGGCATACGGTCGAATGTTCCCCAACAAGCTCTTCGAGACCATCGTGACGGCAACAACACCAACAGACGCCAAAAACGGGCGCGTCCTCCACTGGCGAGAAAACAGACTCATCACCGTTATGGAAGCGCGCCGGGCGCAAGGCTTCCGCGACGAAGAAGTCCTCCTGGGAGACCCCGGGACGCAGTACAAAATTGTCGGCAACAGCGTGGCGAGACAAGTCGCCGTCGCTCTGGGAGTCACATTTCGCGACGCATGGGCGACGAGTTTGGAAAGAAACAAGGAGCTCAAGCTTGCAGGTCGTCACGCTGTGGAAGAGGCAGATGCTATTGATGAGCCCATCGTATCTGATATCACATGTTCGTCTAGGTCTCATTCTCTTGATACGACGATACGGACCACTGCTTCCAGGGACTCTACGCCTTTGACATCCGCAGAGAGCGTGCGAGATGGCGGCGGCAGCCCAACTCGGCAAACAAAGCTCACAAACGGCTGTAAGCGTGGGTATTCATCAGGGGCCCTAGTTGTGGAGATATCTCAAGCTTTGAAGAGACGAAAGTTGGGCGTTGGTGCCCGAATGCCTGCCCACCGTTAAGTAGCAGAATTTAGAAACAATGAGATAGGAGTATCTACAGGTATATTTTAGACAGCAAAAGTACATATTGCTATCATCTAGTATGGCGATGAGATTATAAGATAGAGTTTGTCTTCTTTACCTAAGTATAGGAAGAAACAAAATAAATGATGGAACGCTCCAAATCCGTGCATTCACCGAGTTAACTTTATGAGTTGAGCTGTTGCAAGTCAGACCAACGGCCAAGTATCGCAGTGTATCTTTATCTTTGCTGCGATACAAGCCCGCATATAAGCAGGTACTTGAATGTTCGTATT